CTCATAGATCTATTTCCCCATCCTCATATAAATATATTTGCATATGTACATGTCTTTATCTAGACCTCTATAAATGCCCTTTTCCTCCCAGCTCTTTCCTATATTTCTCTTGATGCTCCTCCTGTCCCACTCTCATACTCAGTCCCCACCAGGATTTCAGTACTTCCTCTTTGTTACATTCTCTTTGATCATGCCCTACCAGGTCTCCCACCCTCATCTCCCCACCAATTTGGATCACTTGTTGTTCCCTTGTCCCTGGGGTTATTTATTTATTTTTGAAGAAGAAATGGCCAAATATGAAACTGTATACATATTCACGGTCGGTGGCTGATGATTTGGCTGAATGGTCTAGGACTTGGAAGGGGAATGATTGGGAAGATGGTGATAAGAAGGGATATGGAAGAGGTAGGTGGTAAGACCTTCCTGAATGGGTAAAAAAAGAGGAGATATTTGAGTCTCATGTGACTGCTCACCGAAGGGTCCCAATCAAATAGATCGATTGACTCCTGCTGTTGAGGAGCCTGGGGGTGCAGTCCTTATGCATTGGTTTGGGCTCCCATGCACATGGTTGGCAGTTCAAACCACCAACAGCTCTTCAGGAGAAAGACTGGATTCTCTACTCCAATAAACAGTTAGTTACTGATTTTGAAAGCAGTTTTATTGGCCTGTAATGCTCAGAAACCCACAGGAAGTTGCTCTGAGTGGACAGTGAGTAGAACCCAGTCATCCTCTTTTCATGTTCCCTCCCTGTCATTTCCCAGTGAGCTCATGAACAAAGTGGTCATGGTGGCAAGAGGTTATTTGTATGTCCAGTGATATGGACTTCAACTCACCCTGACCAAATCCGCTACTGCCACTGCTGAGTGCCCAATCTACCCACAAGAGAGACCAACACTGAGTCTGCAATATGGGCCTATTCTTTGGGAAGGTCAACAGGCAGCCTGGTGGTAGGTTTAATTACATAGGACCACTTTCATCATAGAAGGGGCAACATTTTGTTCTTACTTTAATAAATGTTATGAATACTGATTTGCCTTTCTAGTAAACAATGCTTCTGCCAAGAACTACCATTTGTGGACTTACAGACTGCCCTATCTATTGGCATGGTATCCTGCACGGCATAATCACAGATTAGGTGTTTTGCTTCCCAGCAAATTATGTAGAGCAGAGGTGGTATAACAAGGAATCCACTGGCCATACATGTTCTCCATCATCCAGAAGAAACTGGTTTGATTGAATAATGTAATAAACTTCAAAAGACACAATTATGGCACCAGCTAGGTGGCAATACCTTGCAGGTTTATGACAACTTTTTTGAGGATGTGGTGTATGCTCTAACTTAATGTCTTAGCTTTAGTCAATTAATATGTCCTTCCAAGCTTAATTCATTGCTATGTATTATAATTCTTGACTAAGCCTGTGGATCTGATACAATATTGGAACATGTCCTCTGCTATCTAATGGGCAGAATTAGGGTGGGATTAAGTCCTCACCTAACAAGGGAATATTGCATGACTTAAAATCAGGAAAGACAGGTTTCAGGGTTGTATCCTCTCACCATACTGATTCAGTCTGTTTGCTGACCAAATACTTATATAATCTGGGTTTCGCAAAGAAGAATGAGTCATCGGGATTGAAAAAAGATTTATTAACAACCTGTGATATGCAGATGACACAATCTTGTTTGATGAAATTATGGAGAAATTGGAGCAATTGCTCATGAAGATCGGGGATTGAAGCCTTCAGTATGGACTATATCCCAATATGAACAAAACCTAAATACTGATAAAATACTATATCCCAATATAAACAATACCTAACATCATGATAAATGGAATAAAGGCTGATGTTTTCAAGGATTTTGTCTTGCTTGGACCCACAATCAATGTTCATAGAAGCAGTAGTCAAGACATCAAACAAATGATGCATTGCATTGGGTAAATTGACTGCACAAGGCCTCTTTAAAATCTTGAAAAGCAAGGAGGTTATTTTAATGACTAAGGTAAGCCTGACTCTAGCCTTAGTATTTTCCTTTATTTCTTTTTCTAAGCAGTGTTATTGGCCTATAATTCACACTATCATACAATTCAATAGTTCAATCTCATCAAGAAGAGTTGTACTGTCTTCATCATAATAAATTTTAGAACATTTTTCTTTATTTTATTCATTGTTATTTGCCCCAATTTCCCTTCAGCTCCCCTGCTGTACCCCCAGAAACCTTTAATCCAGTATTGTCTCTGTAGATTTACCTAGTCTGGATTTTATATACAGAAAAAACCAAAACAAACAAAAAGACCAAAGAAAACTCAAAACATTTCAATTACGCCAGTGATGAATATTGAAAGTACCGTGGACTGCCAAAAGAACAAAGAAAATGGTCTTGGAGAAGTACAGGCAGAGTCGTTCTTAGATGCAAGAACGAGGAGGCTTTGTCTCACTTTACTTTGGACTTGCTGTCAGGAGAGACACGGCCCGCAGAAGGTCACTGTGTTCGACAAAGTTGAGGGCAGTGAAAAGGAGGATGGCCCTCTACAAAATCGATTGACAAAGTGGCTGAAACCATGAGATCAAACCTAAGAATAAGAGCGAGGCTGGTGCAGGACTACGCAGTGTCTCCTCCTACTGTACACAGGGTTGCTCTCAGTTGAAACCAATTTGATCACAACTAACAGCAACAGGAAAAAAATAACAAAGTTCTGACCTTAGTAAAGGGTGTGAACCAAGTCATATTTTTGTTTCCTTGGAGGTATAGTTCATAAAAGATGAAATTGACACATATATCAAAGTTATCCCTCTGTGTGTAAGAGTCATTTCAGTCACAGCAGACCCAGAACATCCGAAGAACATGTTTAAGGTCTCTAGTTGAAATGGTGGAGGCAGAGACTAGAGGTCAGAGACGCTGGCACAGAGATTAGGAACCAGAGCAAGAGTCCAACTGAGGGCAGAAGCTGAGGCAAGGAAACCATGAGGAAGAACAGAGAAGCAGCACTGAGACTATGGATCTTTGAGGCAGAGCAGTAGGCAGGCTTCCTTGTCCGTGGAAGCAAAGGTTAAAGGATCACATGGCTGGGAGTGTGAGGACCAGAGAGGGACTTGGCTGCTGGCCGAGAAGTGTTGCTGTGTATCAATGGCTGTGTCCTCACGGTTCATTGATCCTGACTTGTGATGATATATTAACTTCCTTAATACCACCCCACTCCCACCCCCAACATAGTTGTGAGTGGTATGAGTTCCCTGTGGCCACACCAGGAAATCAATGAACCCAGGAAAGAAGTAGAGCGCCATAGGAGGAATGATTAGTGTCAGAGTAGGGTACAGAAAGATAGCGTGGAGGCATTTATTTCTGCCTCATGACAATAGAAAAGCCAGATGAGACTGCATGTGGCCACCATTACAATCCTCTTTGCAGTGCCCAATACATGCATTGCTTCTCCAATAGCCAGTATCGATGTCTGGAAACCAAGCTTTCTTTTCAGGAAAGACCAGTCCCTGCTAAAAGATATCCTAATTGACAAAGTAGAGGGTCAGCAAAAATAAAAATCATGCTCAGGGCAGTGGATAAACAGGTACTGCAACAAGGGGTTCAAACCTAACCATCGAGAGGATGACACAGGACTAGGGAGCGTTTCATCCTGTTGGACACAGGGTCACTCTGAGTCAAAACTAACCAGATAGCACCTTTTACATTATCATAACGTTACATCTTTAGTCTCCTTTCATTTATAAACTATTATTTTTCCATTGCTATGAAAACAAATGTTGACATGAACATTCTTTAATATGATTTTTATGAACAGTTGTCTCTGGAAGAACCCTTTTTTTTATCACTTCAGTGTCTTTATTCTTGAATTTGCAGGCCATAAATGAAATGTTTACCAAAGTTTCCCACCCCCCCTCTCAAGGAGTGTTTCTTTCTTTTTTTTTTTTTTAAACATTTTAGTAGGGGCTCATACAACTGTTACCGCAATCCATACACACATCAAGGAGTGTTTCTTGTGTCACTGAGAATCCTTAAAAGAGTTGAATCATAGACTCTCTGCATTTACCTACACCAATCCACTTAACTGGAATTTGAAACTCATCCTCAATAAAGCGAACATAATTTTGTGCATTAACAGGTAGCTCTTTAAATGTCCTTGCATTTGATATGTCCGTGTTCCATCCTGGGAGAGTCTTATACTGAATTTCAACTTTATTTAAGACTTCTTGGTTTGCTGGGAAATGAGGTATGATTTCACCATCTAACTTGTAAGCAACTCCAACTTTGATTTCTGTAAACATGTCCAAAATATCCAACTTGGTAAGTGCCAACACAGTGAAGCCATTAATCATGTGAGCATATTTAAGCAAAACAAGGTCCAGCCAGCCACATCTTCTCTTCCTTCCTGTAGTTGCACCAAACTCTCTACCCCTTGTTTGAAGTAATTCTCCAATTTCATTGTCTTGCTCTCTAGAAAAGGCACCAATCCCAACTCTCGTGGTGTATGTTTTCAGAACACTGTACACTTCTCCCACGTTTTGAGGCGGCATACCCAAGCCGGTGCAAACACCCCCAACAGTACAGTTTGAAGATGTTACAAAAGGATAAGAGACAATTTTTTTCTTCACCTCTTCTACGTCATCAAATTGCTGTCCTATCGTGCCCCTCTACATTCATGGAAACAAAAAGAAGTTGCATGGAACAAAGTCAGGTTAGAAGCGGGCATGGGGCAAGAGAGGCATGCTATTTTTTGCCAAAATCTGGAGCACTGAGAGGGCTATGTGAGCAGGTATATTGTCATGGTGCCAAAACCAGTCCCCTGACTGCCACAAATCAGACATTTTTTTGTTGCAGTTACAACGTCTTTTTGGAACCTCTAAATAGAAAGCTTAATTAAGAGTCTGACTTGGTGGAACAAACTCCAAATGCACCATGAGTCGACATTTTCATCGATTCGGGAAGTTGATGGACATCCAGAATGAAAATTAAATGTCATCAATTGACATTTAATTTTTTGAAACTAACAAACCATTCATGAACTTGAGTTTTTTCCATAGTGCTATCCTTGTAAGCTGTGTTCAACATCACAACAGTTTCTGCAGTATTTTTCCCAAGCAGAAAACAAAATTCACAGCCATATACTGTTCTCTTATATTGGCCACCACAAAAAAACAATGTTTTAGTGAAACTGTTATTAAGAAAAAATTCACTGAGACCAGAGAGAACCTTTCCAGGTGATACCACTGGATGCACTAACTCAGAGCAAGTCGCTCAATGATCAGCTCATGGGAATAAAGCCTATTTCACAAGCTCCACCGAGAGGAGCTATTTTCCAGTTTCGGGGGTGTACACCCTCGTATTGCTCTTATATTTAATCTAGTCACTCTAGGTTTTAGGCACATCAAAAATTTTTAATAATAGAACCTGTTTTATTGCTCCTGGAACTAGAATCTCTAGTAATTACATTAATGAATATGCTCTGGTTGAATAAAATCTGCTTGGCACTAATCTTGGTCAAATGCATTTGATTTAAAAACTCCTAATAGATTAAGATGAGGAAGGAGTGGTTCTTTCAAATTTGTCCCACATCATAGAGCTTATGGCTTATGTGTATCCTGCTTGATGGTCACAATATTCACTTGAACTGAAGAGGTTTTCTCTTATTTAATTATAAAAACTGGTATTGAAAGGTTGAGAGACTTACTAGGAGATACCCATTATTGAAATGAACTAACTAGATAAAAAATTAATCATTTCTTAGGTCTAACCATGGACCTAGTATGATTCCTTTTCTTCTAACTGCAGGCGCTAGCACTGTAGAATCATATGGCTTTCATCTTGCCTTTGTCCAAATATATAATTCTCATGGACTATCCCTTAAAGTTCTCTTCTTATGTATAAGTATGGGTGTGTTTGTACACTTGACAATGTAATTGAAGCTCTTATAGAAAAAATTAGCTCTCCATTGGGTATTGAAAGTATAATCAGAAAAAAGCACTAGGATGGTTTCTTTTAAAGAAATATATAAATATAAAACCATTTACTTAACATGCATTAAAATGATCTGTGAGTTTAATAAACTTCATATGTAAAACTCCTTTACTTCTTTGGGTTAAAAATACCACTTCTTTATATAACTTTGTATTAGTCTTCCTAAGCAAGATTGTACATCTATAAATATTTTCTTTTCTTCATAAAATCACATTGCATTAATAAAAATGACCCAAGGCTGGCTGTCTACACAAGTGCCATATCCTTTCAACCAAAGTTACTATTAAAACCTAAAGACAACATGAGACCAAAATCAATATACTTAATATACTCATATATATTGTTGTGCTCCATCTGGTCAATCCTCACTAGTAACTACCCTACAGCCAAGCGTAGAACTGCCCATAGGGTTTTCCCAGGCTGGAATCTTTATGGGAGCAGATTGCCAGGCCTTTTCTGCTATGGAACAGCTGGGAACCATACACCTTTGTCCCATCAAGGCTCCATTATAGATATTAAAATACTCTCCCCTCATCTTATAGCTCAGAATGCTTGGTTTAGAAATCGTTGATCCCCATCATTATGGTTTATTATATCTTTCTCTCTGGTTGTTATTTACCTGGAGGTCTTTGTGAATCTTGCGTCCTGTTTTCCCAACCCAGATGCTTTATGTCTGCTCTCTTGCCACTTGGAAACATAAGACCTTCATGGCTGTGAAGGAAAGATTAAAAATGGATGGTATTGCTTTCTTCTTTGTATTTGTTTGTCAATTAAAGAAAAATCACCCATCTTGTCTTCTATGCCAGCATTGCATACTCTGCTGCTACCTTCCCATCGCATTAATGCATTCCATCCCATTCAGGCACTCTGGTCCAAACATGGGTAGTGATAAAGTTTATTACTACCACTTTAATTCTTTTGTGTGTTACTGGAATTTTTCTTCTTAATTTCACAGTCCAGTACTTCTTTTGGATTGAGTATTGGTAAATTTTCTCTCCAGCTTATCTTCCAAATTATAAAAATAAATACTTTCCATCCACAATAATTCCATATAACGGCCAATAATTCTCATTTGACATCTGATGACAGAGTCTGCTCTTCACTGCTTGGTAGATTCATTCACATGTACAAGCACCTAATAATGGATGACTGAGGCAAGGCGCTACGGAGTAGGTTGATATTCAAATTTCTATTTCCACTTTTCAGCTCTGGGAAGCAAAGTAGATTTTATTTTTAAATTAAGAGTGTTATATAGCTAAGTCATTAGAAAATTAATTCACCTAAATTATTGGCTGAGAATAGTGACATTGACCATGAGGTCAGGAGTTCTAAGTTATTATACTTAATTGCAGATTATTTCAAATTCTTTGGTTACTTCATTATATCATGCTTGAGTATCATCTGTCAGTAACAATGCTAGAATTTCTTCCTTACAAGGTTCATGTGGTGAATCTATTAGGCTTTAAAAGTTCACTCGTAAGGGTTATTATTGTCATTTACAATAATGTGGCTGTCCCAAAAATATAACACTCACCCTTCTAACATGTACAAATAAAACAGACTGCTCTGTATTTTTTTTAAATTCATCTGTGCTTCCTTGAGTGTCTCTATTCTGTTTGAAGGTGATTGGAAAATGGAAGTGAGTACAGCGAAGAGCAAACTAGAAAGAAATTCTAAACAAGTTAATCAATGGCATTTATCTCTCAACCTTTCAACGGTCCCTTAGAGACGACACTTTCTCTTTCTGAGATAGTTTGTATATTGCACTACTTCCTCTTCCCATGCGGTTTCAGGGTCATGTTCAGTAATTCAAGTTGCCTTAAAGAGAAAATAATACATCAGATATCTGGTCGGGAAGAGAATATGTCTGCAGTCTGTGAAAATGTTAGGCTGCAATGCAATGGGGTTTTAGGTTGTAAAGAGAATTAAATCAACAAACCTTGAAATGGAGGGATTTTACTAGATTCACTAAGTAATCATCAAGGCAGGATATTCCTGTCAGCATAAAGTACAGTTACAAAGATTCCACCCACCCGTGTTGGCTTTGGAGACTGAACATGCCCATGAGCCACGGAGACTGGGAGACTGTGGCTGGAGTAAAAGGAAATAGATTTGACTTTGTTCCTTCAGAAGTAATGCAGCCCAATTGAAAACTTGATTGTAGCTTAATAAGAACCATTGTAGACTTCTAATATTTGAAACTATAAGATTATAAATGTGTACTCTTTCAAGTCACAAATTTGTAGTAATTTTTTACAGCATCAATGGAAAACTAATATAATATCCTTGTCATATTTTGTTGATCCTTGCTACTCCCTATGGTGCCATAATCTAGTCTGGACCGATGACCACTGAGGTAGAATTCGCTCTCTCCAGCTCCGCCAGGGCTCACTCATTTTTATCACTGGAGGCTGTAGCCTCTACTATTTCTTTCTGACACAACGTCTCTGAACTGCTACTTTTATGTCCTGATGATTCTCTGGCCAGCTCATAACTTCTGTCTTATTAAAGTATGACAGATGTCTGTACCATGCAAACCATGGAGATATAAGAAGGATGCCTCATACCTATCGTTCTGAATAACTCTTTTAGCTGTACTAAGATATCCAACCCCCAAGTTTGGGCAGTGCTAACTTACAAAATAGTTTTCTCCCAGAATTTCAAGGGCAAAACTTAGAAGCATTTACTTTATCCTGTCTATCAACCTACCTAGCATGCTTAGGAAGGTCAAACTACTCGATTCTAACCATACCACCTTTCTTATTTTCATAATTATCTAAACCCAAGAAAGTACCCCATTCGCAAAATTTTCTTTTAACTGTATCTTAGAGTAACTATATTCTTATTTATAATAAAATCTTGTGAGTAAATGCGGATTTAATTAAAGAAATTAAATTGATTTTAAAAGATCTATCCTGATTTTTGATATTATGATTTTGATAAAAACTCAAGAATTTATATTCCAGTTGGCAGAATTCTACCCCCTATTTCCCTTTGCCTTTATGATGCTCATTTTGAATCCTTTGTTAAACAAATGGATGCCTCTGCAGTATTATTGGTGGAGACCAAATACAATAAAAATAAATAATATAAGCTTCTAGAAATCATCCTCAGTATGTCAAAAAAGATAGATGGTATGTGTGTGCAACTTATTAAAAATCAAGTAGACATAAATGTGAAAATAGTGATGGAGGATATTTAATTCCTATTCTTTAATAGGCTTAAAATGTGAATTAGTGATTAAAATTATTAGTAGTATTTAATTAGATTAAATAACATGCTCCACTTTAAATGAGGAAACAGCATTAAAATTTGGGTTCTAAATATAGTATTTATTACATTAGAACATTGATAGATACATTTTTTAAGATGCTTGATTAAATTCAATTTGTGGAATGATGAACTAATGGGAGCCATAAGGAATCAAAATACATCCCGCTGAGTCTCTGAGATATCATGTAAAAGCATGCTAAGAAAACATGCTATTATTCCTCAAATATGGAGGGTATTTCTAAGTACAGCATGTCCCCAATTTATGAAATAGTCAAATTTCTAGGAAACATACATGTGGCTGTTCTTTATTAATTTAAGTTTTGTAAATTTGTTCATTCACCATAAATACCATGTGGAAAATTTTAGCCTATGATTTGCTTCTGTTATAATTCTCATGATACCT